CGTGGGTTCTTCTGGAAAAACACTTTCCTCTTCTTCAAGTGCCGGAAATGGCCAATCTCTGCCGGCGACGGAGGAGATACGGAATTCCCAGATGGTGACGTTCACATGGCGAGGGCTAGGAATTTTCGCGCCGGTTCGATATCTGGTCCGGTTTACGTGACGGAGAGCCGGAGCGGTTCGAGCACGCCGTACCGGTCGGTGAGACCTTCGTCGGATTTCAGAGCAGGAACTCTGTCGCCGGCGATTCCGTATCTGAGTCTACGGGAGCTTAACATGGAGCGGCAACAGAGGATCACTACCTCTTCTATTTCCGGTCCCCTTTACTTGGTCACCTGATAAACATCAATTTGCAGAATTATCTTTTTTAGAAAACTTTTATAGGATCATTGGGATGGAAGAAAACAAAAATAAAATTATTAATTAATTGTCTTAAAATATTAGATGGGTTGGTAAATCCATTACATTAAAGCTAATAATAGGTCATTGTCTGGATTATTATAACTATAAGTGTAGCTTTTAGTGTTTTGCAATTTGTTTCTCAAGTGTTACTAAGATTTTGGTTGTGGTTTATGTTAAAATCAGAGCTTGTAGAAGATTCAGCTTCTTGAGCTTTAAAGTTAAAAAGAAAAGAAAAGCAGGATTAGCTGATTGCTATTTTTTTAGGATGGTAGGGTAAAAAAGAGAAGCAAAAATTTAGTTAAACCAATCAATCAACATATACCCGCGTAGTTAGGATTTAAAACATAACAACTAGAATTTTTTTTGGAACAATTTCAAAGATACTACAAAGACAATAGCTATTTTAAAATAGTTCTATTTACGATTAGTTTTCAAAAATATTGTTTTGTGTATGTTTTTATAATATATGAATTATTGAAACTAAGAGATAATTAAAAACATTAAATTTTACTTAATCACTAATAAAATTATTAGCATATACGAAATGTAATTTTCTAAGTATAAGAATAAAATTATTGAAACATTTTATTGTTTTCTTTGACAATCATAATCTGAGAGACTATAGAGAAATAAGATTTTCAAATTCCAAATGAAATTATACAAACTGCTCTATTTAGCTTTTCTCAACGAGTTTCATTCAAGACCAATAATGACTATGAATACTGTAACAAGGATATGTCCAATCTAGCTGTGACACAAATTTGAGAGTTTCTAGAGTTGGTGTTGAAGAGACCTCTTCAGATCAATGGCTTCTTTGAGTTTACGACCGAGAGCAAACGCCAATGGTGGAGGGACTGCATTCCCAATCTGCCTATGCTTGTGGTGTTTATTCCCTACCAACTCATAGCTATCCGGAAACCCCTGCAAGTTTTTATATATTGATAGATTCAAAACCACCACAATTTCAATCCTCTTTTTCAATGCAACCAATTTTTAAGAGCTATATCCATAAAAGCTAACACTCGACATCATATCTCAAAATATTCTATCCATACCACAATGGTACTGATGCTAGAGGACTGAGTATGGAAAAAAACCGAAAGCTCTATCTAATCTTCATTCGAGTTTTTTTTTCTTTACCTGAGATCGGGCGCATTCACGGATTGTGACAATTCTGTCCTGGTCAGGATGGAAGCACATTCCCACTTTACCCATGGGCTGTGGACTAGTGATGGAAGTGGGTAAGTTACCTTGCCAGTCTAATCTCCCATAGAGCCCCTTCCACTGGTTGTGGAGCTTAGCCTTGTTTGGCAGACAATAAGGAATCAAATTTTCAATTTTCCCATTTGTTAACTTCACCTGTAAAAGTAATAATATAAAGCTTTCAAGTAATCTAAAGCTTTTAAGCTGTTAAGACTAAGGAAAAAGTGTTAGACTGACCTTCATATTTGGGAGGTTACGCCAGTCAGCACCTGGCCTCTTTGGGATATTCTTACATCGAATGAGGTTTAGTTCGCTCATCTCTTTGCAGATATGATCAGTGAGAACGATCATGTTTCCTCTTATCACCTTTTGGAACCACGAGACTGGATCAGCTCGATACTGCAAACACACAAGAATCGCCAAAAAAGCGGTTCACATTAGTTGTGTTATTCATAAATACTTTCTCCTCATCTGTTATCATACCTCTTGGTTTGTCTTGGAGTCTCCGTTTTTTACAGGTGGAAGATCACCAATTGCGTCTCTCACAGTGATTGAGCGGAAAGGTGCACCACCTTGGGTTGTACGAACAGCAGCGTAACGTGAGCGTGGAGATAGTGAGATATTCAACCCCCAAGCGCGAAAGACATGCATCGGCTCAGGCCATTCTGGAAGAACTTCTCCTGGTGCAGCTGCCCAAATAAAAGCTCTTGTACGAGATTGGGAAACTCCATATGCACCTGCCTCCAAGATTCCAAATCTCACCTGGAAAACATCATATTGAAACAGATGTTGAATTCAATTTCAGACTGTATTTTGAAAACAATGGATTTTTACCTGGTAACCCATTTCGAGAAGAGAAGCTAGAGTAAGTCGAAATGTCTGCCCTTTCTTGTGTGACACAAAGGCCCTCACGTTCTCCAGAAGAAAATACTTTGGCCGGAAATAATCAGCAAAGGACAAGAATGCTAATATCATTTCACATTGAACTTTACTCCAAGGGCTGTAGTTGAACCTGTTCATACCAGAAAATCCCTGCCATATTTGCTTGCATAGGTTAAGAGAGCTTTTCACTTATTCAACGAAATATCCTAGACAAGTATTTTTGTAGGAGCAATCTTAAATAAAAATACCTGGCATGGAGGACCTCCGTTGATGAAATCCACTTGACCAGGCAGTGGCAGAGTACTCTTTTGGTTCTCATCAAGTTTTGCTGCAAGTTCATCTGCTTCCGTAGTAGCGATACACTCGTCTTCATCTCCACATTTCTCCATTATAGCCCTGCAGATAATCTCAACAAACTGATCACAACACAAGACATAGCCACATTGGAAGAGTAAGTGTTTTTCTTGTTGGCTACTTACCTAAGAATCACATTGCAGTTCTCAACAAAAACTGTTGATTCGGGATGGTTTTGTTTAAAAGCCTGCGCAGCTGGCTCTTCATACTCGATCGCCCATTTTGTTGCAGATACACCTTGTACATAAAAGCATGCATATGATGAATACAACATGTTCAAGCGTTTTGGTGGATACATTGATGACTGGAGATAATACATACCCGCCTGTTCCAGTCCATGAGACAGTCCACCGCAACCAGCAAAAATATCGAGTGTGGCCATACGCATCTCTTTAGGTACCTCATCAGGCTTCTCAATCCCAGAATCAGTTTCGCTCTCAATACCCTTCCCCTTTTTCTTTCTTAGAAGCATGTCATCTTTCATAGTAGAGAACTTCAGCTTCATATTGGCAGCCAACTGTTACAAAACAGTTAAGAGAAAAGCAGTTTAACTAACTTTACATGAGAAACAATAATAAATAATTGACAACAAAAAGGAGTGAAGAAATATATACCTGATTGAGAGAGCCTTTGGACGAGTCATAGAAATGTTCACAAAAGAAGATATGGTCTGATAATGGATATTCACGGCGCAAGGGCATTTCGTTTTTCTTCCTTACTTCACATTTTCCCTCTAGTGCCCTTGGAGGAACAACATATGTGTCCTCGCTGTAATATAACTATAAAAGAAAAAACAGTGGAAAACGATTGTAAGATAAACTTATGAAGAAGTAACCTCCCTTACTTGATTGATTACATGAGAAATAGTTGTTACCTCTTGGATGTCCGAAGCATAGGCCTTCTCTGCAGAAATATCCTCAGGCCTATAAAATCTTCTCACTTTAACCTCAAACGAACCCAACTTAGCCTTTCTAGATTCCTTGAGGACAATGATTTCCAACAATTGGCAAACAACAAAAGCTCTCAAGCCAATGTTTCTCCCAGACTTGAAATTTTCAATACTCTTCTTCGATCCATCTTTAGTTATATAGTTCGGTTTGACATAGGCATAATCTTCAGCAGAATACTCAATCCCATTGGAGAAAAAACCTGTCTTTGTAGCATTCAGTTTAGTTTTTGACCTTTCCTTCACCTCCTCCCTTAACTTACATGAACTGCAGAATCCAGAACCGCGACCGATATCACTTAGTGGAAGACTAAAGAATCCCCCTCTCTCAGGTGAGTACAAGCTCTTGCAGTAGTAYTCWGTAGGCAAAYCTTTMGCYTTTCTTTCWTCTGCTCTTKYCCGGTCAAGCTTATCYGCMRTGGYGGTCTCTTTCCTATACTGATGCCCCCATGGCCTGGATCGCATCTCGAAGATGGCTGTTCCTTTTATGTCCTCAAGTTGCACAGTCATGCATTCATTTGTCAGGAATAGTTCCCTCTCGTTAGCAGCATTCCCTAGAACAGTCTCGGAACCTCTTTGAAGGAGTTTTCCATGTAGCATTTTGCTGTGATCTGAACTTTCGAACATGTACTCCACATAGTAGATGGACGGAGTTTCATCTGAATCATCAACTTCCATGATGACAGCACCTCCTACAGCCACATTCTCCCCTCCAACGAGGGCTTGTTGATAGAGAGGCTCACCAGCTGAAGTTTTTCCTATACTCTCGCCGTCCCAACCTATGTCCATTTTCTCAGAACTGCCTCGAACTTTCTTTGGAACATCAATAGGTTCTGGTAGAGTGTCCTCTACGCCATCTTCTTCAATTTCACCCTCCTCTTCCTCAATTTCATCCTCTTCTTCAATCTCTTCCTCACCATTTTCTTCACCAAGCTCCTCCAGTGGTTCCTCTGGACAGTAATTGGAGCAAAAGTCACCCCAAACTCTGTTGATCAGGCGGGTCGTTGTTGCTTGCATAGCTTTCATCTTGGAGACCACGGGTTTCAGACCTTTCCTCGGATTCAAATTCAGTACATTGAGTACAAATTTCTTCTTCTTGATGACCCATCTTGTGTGGTGCCTATCCTCCATTTGACTTGCAAGACCAACAATAAATGGACACCTTCTGATATCCTTTTTAGGATATTCTGCAAAAAGCTGCAAGATTATTTGCCCATGGACAACCACATATCTCTCCACAGCCTTAGGCTTAGAAGATATGTAAGCGTTATCGTTCTCCTCAAGCTCAGACAGTCTTTTGATGACATCTGTGAATGAAAGCCTAGAAATTCTGGTTTGCTCCTCAAGCAAAGTAATAATGCTTATCGCCACCCTTGCTGTTTTCAGAACAGGTTCATACCAAGGGGCATAATGCTTTGACGGTTTCCCAAGTCGATACCTGCATATGCATGATATGTCAGCAACAAAAAGAAATTGACGCAGAAATGTATGGTAGGGATACTGGAATAGACAACTTAATTACCAGGCGACATCTGTCCGGAATGAAATGGAGACCATTCCAGCTCCAAACTCAATCATCCATTCCTTTATTTGACTAAGGAATATGGTCATGCCATCGGGATCTTGTCGTTGTGTTGAGGTCTCAGAATCATTGATAGAAAACCAAGTTCCATCATCTTCAGTCACCACACCAGACCCATAGATGTTGACATCCATATCATCATCACAAGGCTTCATCGGAATAAGCTCCAGTGATATCAACCTCGTATCGGTGTTGTAAAGAGCCCAATTGTGAAGCATCCTACGAGGCAGTTGGTCAATGTTAACCTCATCTCCAGCATCAGCCAGTATACGCTCATCAGTTTCTTCTTCGGAAGTCTCATAATAAGATGGGAGAGGGTAGTCATTGGCAAGCTCATCTTCATCGATCTTTATGTAGAATCTATTCGAAGCAGAAGCAGAGCCGCTGTTTTTTCGAGACCGCTGCATAGATTTCCTATACTCTTCATCTTGTAGAATTTTGGCACACTTTCTGTCCTCATCAGCACCATCGTCAACCAGTTGATCAGAAACTCCACCAATCCTCAGAGTTCCATTGGAGGGTTCTCCTTCCATCTGCACAGCCTTGTCATATTTACTACTCTCATCTCTGAGAGTAACGAGAACAGGCATCCCGGCAAAACTGGTTTCATGTTTCTTGGCTGTCTCGTCCAAGCCCGCGAGTTGGTTATATATGAACTCTCCCTGGGATATAACAAACTCTTGGATGGCTGCACCACTAGAAAAGAACTTGCTTCCGCTCATTGACCTGACAACCGCTGCAAGCAACTCATCGAGGCTCGTATCAGGATTCCCACCTGAAGACTTGGACAGTCTCTTATACACAGCCACCGAAGCACACGCCTTCTCAAAGAAATAATCGTATATCTTCTTGTAGCGAGTAGCAGGTTTAAGGCAATCGTAATCTGCCAACTCGGTTGAGATCCATATCACAGGTGATCCATCTTCATAGCCAGTTATACTCCAATTCTCCACACGTCCAAAAGATTGGCACCTCACACCCTTTTCTTTGTCCTTGTCAGAACATCCATCTAAAGGTAAGATAACACCTGCAATGAAAATGTCTTCGATTTCCAACATCTCCACGGGCTGTGGAGCTCCATCGGAATCATGTAGAAGGAAGTCAGTTAGCCTCCTGGTTTCACGACATTCATCGGTCGGCAGAGAAGTTAAGTGCAGAGCAACGATCTCGTCCTCCACAATCGGCTGTTTCTTTCTTTCCACAGTCGCAGATTTCTTGGAGATCCGGACAGATTTTTCCTTGAAATCTGTACATGCGGCCGCTCGCTTTGGCCTTCTTGTACAGACGTCGTCTGAGCCTTTGATGTCTGTAAGAGTTCTCTTCTTTTGCTTCCCAGCAGCCTTAGTCTTTGTCACTGTATCTCCATTGTTCTCCATTTCCAAAACCTAAATAACGAGAACGCACGTAATGAAATCATCAAAATACTCGTACTATATTATTACAATTAAAACTTTAAAAGGAAACTCAAAGAAAAACACCCTAGAAGAGATACATACTACATGCAGAATTTAAGGAAAAAACAAGAACCCACGTAATCATAATTATGATGCAATTGAAGTAAAATTTTGCTAGTCAGAGCTATATAATCAAAACCCTAGAAAATGAGTGTTTTCACATCACGTCGATATAATCGACGCAGACAGTAGAAATGCGATGTTAACACTTAGTGTAAATTGCCATCGAAAAAGGCAGAAGACTTACGGTTAGAAACAAAATTCGCAGTAGAAATGAGGAAGCACAAGAGAGATTGAAGAGGAATCGAAAGATAGAGTTTGAGTTGATTGAGAGGATTTGCAAGTATAAATAGCAGAGTGATAAATTTTTTAAAATGACTAAGAATGGAAGGAAATCTCCGCCTCAAAGCTCTTCACATTTTATGTCTGGCAAAATTGTTGTGTGCACTGCACATAAAGATTTTAATTAATGTATTTTTTTTGTTTTTGCTCATAAAAAGATTTTCAATTTATGATATCTGTCATTTCCTTCCTGGGCATATCCCATATAAATTTCTTATTTTAATTTTGTTACTATTGACCAAACAAAAATTAAACTCTTGTTGATATTAACTAGAAAATTTTTGAGAAATTTCAAAAAATGCCATTTTTCAAGTGCCACTTTACAAAAATGCCACCTTTTTACAATCTTTGCAAAAATGCAACTTTTTCAAAATTATTTATTCATTATATCATTTATGTTTGGGTTAACTATGTTGTATTAGGATTTAGTTTTGAGGGTTTAAGGGGTTCTAAGGGTCAAAAGATTTTAGAATTTTAAGATTTATGCTCTAAAAAATTATAATTAGTGGCATTTTTGCAAATAGACACCAAAAGTGGCATTTTTGTATATATGGACACAACAAGTGATATTTTTGCAAATGTCCCAAAACTTTTTTAACTAAAAATATATTATATTTTATTCCATAATTTAATCTTCTTCCATTAACCTTTTTTTAAACGTCTATCTAATGTATATTAGTGTCTACATAAAATTTTAAACATCCAATTAAACAATTTCACATCAGGCTACACATAATCTAATATTTTCTAATAACAGTAAATCATATATACAATTGGAAAACGAGAGAATTAACCCGAAACCGTAAAAGAGAAGCAAAATTGGAAATGTGACTTAGTTGATTAAATGGGAAATAAAACAAGTTGATTTAATGGGGCAAAAGACTAGAGTGTCCTCGACTAACCCCACGTGTATACAGATTTAGGCGGGGAAAAATAATTGTTGTGTATCTTATTAGAGATATTATAGAAAGCTATTAGTTAAATAATCGCCACGTTTTACAATTGAAAAATAGCTATAAAATTTATAAAGTGTTTTTTTATTTTCTTTATTTTCTAACTTTCATTTTTTTTAAGTCGATTTTTTATATTTTCTTCTTTAAATTTTTTTATTTCAAATATGTATTTTTGAAAAGAATATAATATATGAATAATTGAAACTAAGAGGGAATTAAAAAAATTAAATTTTACTTAGTCGCTAATAAAATTAGTAGC